ACCATCAGATCTTGTAAGACTATTCACTACCATGAGAACAGTATGTGGGAAACCACCCTCATAATTCAATTATCTCCCACCAGGTCCCTCCCACAACACATGGGAATTACGGAAGTACAATTCAGATGAGATTTGGGCGGGGACATACAGCCAAATTGTATCAGCCATTAATTATCCTAAGCAAATTAACAAAGGAACAGAAAAGCAAATACCATGTTTTTACTTATAAGTGGGAGCTAAGCATTGGGTACACATAGACATAAAGATGGAAACAGACACCAGGGATAGACACTAGAGCAGGGAGGGAAAGAGGTGGGTAAGGGCTGAAAAACTACCTATTGGGTACTATGCTCATTACCTGGATGATGGAATCATTCATACCCCAAACCTCAGCATCACACAATATACCTATGTAATAAATTTGCACATGTACTCCCTGATCTAAAATAAAAGTTGAAATTATTAAAAAAGAAAAAAATAATAGAAACCATTCTTGTACAAGCTGAGTGACAGAAAAATATTTTTTTTGTATTTTTATTCTTTTTTAATTTACTTTTTACAAGTTTCTGAATTGATCAGTTTTCCTTTCTAATGGTGGGGAGGAGCAGTAGATGTGGAGGTAATAAGTGATATTTGCTTTTTAAAAAGTGAATTCTCTCTGTGTTGAATTTCTTGATTAGTGGATCCAATTCATCCACAAACCATCCCTTCTCTGTTGCCATCTTCCAGTTAGCCAGCTAGGAATAACCATGTGATTCAGGTTCAGGTCAATGAAACAAGATGAGAAGACTGCTAGGTAAGCTTTTGAGAAAGCTTTTGCCTTCCTGATATAAAGGGATATATTCAGCGGCCACATCACTTCACATGTTTAACAGCTTTCTTGAGATATAATTAACACATCATACAGTTTGCCCATTTAAAGTATACAAATCAATGGTTTTTAGTATATTCACAGAGTTATACCACTATAACCACAACCAATTTTAAAATATTTTTATCAACCCAAAAAGAAACTCTATATCCATTAGCAGTCATTTCTCATACTCTCTTAATCCCCACTTCAGCCTTGGGCAACCACTAATCTACTTTCTGTCTCTAGATTTGTCTATTGCGGACATTTCAAATAAATGGAATTGTGTAATATGTGATCTTTTGTCACCATCCTTTTTCACTTTGCATAATGTCTTCAGGGATCATTCATGTTATAGCATGTAGCAGTATTTTATTCCTTTTTATGATCTAATAATATTTTATCATTTAGATACTATCTATTCATCAGTTGATAGACATTTGGGTTTTCTTTTCACTTTTCGACTCTTATGCATGCTGATGCTATGAACATTTGTGAACGAATCCAATTCACAAACACTTGATTTGGTTTGTGTTTGTATGAATGGATGTTTTCATTTCTCTTTCTCTTGGATACATTCCTAGGAGTGAATTGCTGAGTAAACTCTTTAACTTTTTAAGGAACTTCCAGACTCTTTTCCAAAGCATCCATATCCTTTTCATTCCCACCAACAATGTATGAATACCTTCACATTTTGCCCTTCCCTTTTCCTTTTTGGAAAAATACAATCCTGATGCCTGAAAGTAGAGTAGCCAGCTTAAAACTAAGAGGCGCAAACATGAATATGCTAATGATAGCAGAGAAGAACGACCAGTCTAGATTTCTACTTACCTCTAGACTTTCTATTATTTGGGAGGAAAAACTCCTACTTGATCAAGGTATTTTAAGTGGGGTCATCCAATAATTATAAAGAAGGCAAAAATCTTCCAAACATACAATGTCATTCTATTCAGAGAATAAACTTCTCCTTGATCTTTATATACTAATTTATAACAAAACCATCTTTTTAAACCTTGAAATTGTAAGAAAAACCCAATGTATTTTCATTTGACCTATTCTTATTTTTTATAGAATTTCTTTATTATTATTCTGTTAATGCAATAAATATTAATAATGACCAACATATGAACTAAGCAAAGTAAGCAAACCAGTAATCAAAGACTCTTCTAAGTACTTTTAAAAGGTATTAGTCTTCTAAATAACTCTACGAGATAAGTAAAACTACTTTTCCCATTCTATATATAAAGAAATTGATGCACACAGGATTTAAGTTACTTGTCCAAGGTCACACAGCTAATGTCAGAACCAGTATTCAAAGTAGGCAGAATTCCTGCTTAACCCTAAAGTATTGCCTCCTCTGTAGAGCACCTTAGCAATTTTAGGATAGAAGATTAATAATTAGTAGCTTGAAAATGAATAAAGGGTTATGTATGTATGCACATGTGTGCATATGTGCTCATTTATGTTACACTCTACTTTCACATTGAGATGAGTAAGGGGACAACTATTTTTTTCGCACCCACCAAATGTCATGTATTGTACACAATGCTTAACAAGTATTATCTCACTAAATCCTCGTAACAGCCAGGAAGAAGATAATAGCTTCATTTATAGGCAAAGAATATGAGACCCAGTAAAGTTAAATAACTCGCCCAGTTTTACACAACTGATAGCTAGCAGATTTGGATACAAAATTAAATCTGCTTTGTTCAAAGCCAATGCTCTCACTACCATACAATAACGTTTACCTGTTTAGATTATTCATACACTAAATTAGAAGTGCCACATTATTATATAAGCTCTTATGACTTTATATTTATTACTCTCATTATCTCTTCATAACTACTCATATGCTTTAACTTTCTGAAAATATGTTCCCATCCTTTCTGCCAAAATACCTGAAACTTCTATGACTAAAATATAATTTAAAATGAAAACACATGACCCTGGAAAAATTTTATATAAACAAATCCCTCATCATATTTGAAGAAATTATTCTAAAAGCTCAGATGGTCAAGTTATCTCCAGAAAAGGTCCACGCTGATAATTTTTGTGTTAGTCCAATAATATTCCACTATCTACCTGCCTGGACCAAATTCCTTCCAATATTCTTCATGACTGTGATACATCAATAATTCTCTCCTTTTAATTAGCAGTCACTTACTCTTCTCAAAGTAGTGTTTCTTCCATCCAAGTACTAACTAGGCCCAACCCTGCTTAGCTTCCGAGATCAGACAACATCAGGCACATTTAGGGTGGTGTGGCCGTAGACTCAAAGTAGTGTTTCTTAGCCAACAAACATTTAAAACTTTCCCTAAAAAAAGTTTTCCTGAACTTGCTATTTCCTCTAACTGTTAAAGGCAGAGCCAGGTCTAATATGAAGGGCATCTCTGCTCCAAGATGTAGGCAAGCACATAAAGACACCATCTTCTACTTGATAATCTTACCTATCCATATCTTTATCGGGGTCTTAATTATTGTGTTCACATTTTAACATTAAAAGTGTTGTAAGGGGCTACTTTGGGAATGTGCTCAGAGGAAATTACTGCCTGGTTTTATAAAACCTCTGTAATTTGATCCCATGCCAATGATACATCTTTCTTCCAATATGAATAAGAAAATTATTCTTTATTAATCATCATCTACAAGCCAGGTATGCTAGGCATGAATTTTCATTCTCATCTCTTTAATGTCTGTTCTTCCCATTCTATTTTTATTCTTACCTCTGCATCTCTGCTTAGTCATGTCCATCATCTGAATGCCATCTCTCCTCTCTAACTTACCATCATTCTAAGCCTAGCTAAATCACCAGTTCCTCCCTGAAGCCTTCCCTATACTCATAAGCCCACACTCAGCAGCATCTTCTGTAGATTCTTGTAACATTTAAAGCCTGTATCTCTTTATCTCATCCTTAATTAGATTTGCCCAAAGTCACTCATGAGTTGTCATTCTTGTTCTCTAACCATTGTGCATATTTTCTATAGCATGAGACCAATTTCCATATTTTTAATTTATCTCCTAGATTATATATAACACAGTGATAAGAAAAAATACACTAAATAAATTAATAACATAAACGAGATTATAGCTTAAGAAACCTATCTACCTTTAAGTGTCATACTTACAAAGAATATCACTAACATAAATCACCTGTTTCTTAAACCAAATCTAAAAACTATTTTTAAGCTCTTTAAAGAATGTTCAGTTTTGCTCTGAAGATATAATACCAAATTCTTAAAATACATTTAGCTTAGACTTTTATTTCTGACTCCAAACCCAGTATCTTGAGGTTTTGCCAATACGTTAAATATTCACATTGCTTACCAACATCAGTGGCCACAACTTAAAATAATCTTAAAGTTATAAGTTTCCTACCACAAAAGTCTAGGTTTAGATATTTGAAATCACAATGAATGATCTATATTTGCACAGTGAAATTGTCAAAGAATTAAATTCCAAATTATATTTAGGCTTATATTTAATTAAGCAGGCAAATCTTAACAAGTCCATTATACAATTTTAACTAGTAATGCATCTGAAATGACCATAATTAGTCCAATTAGTTTTCATTGAACCTGTCAGACAAAAATATCATGCAACTTGAATCATAAAAAAAAAAAAAAAGCTGCATTTTAAACCTCTGTAAATCACAAGTGGTTCCACACCAGGCGGAAAGGAGCAAACTATCCAAATTAACTCTATCTAAAATAAACGAGAAAAAGTAAAGAAAAAAAAAATCTATCACAAAACAAGTGAGGAAAATTTTCTACTGGGTCTCTTATTACTCAAGCTTATTACAGCCAGAAGTAGAAGTGAAACAAGGCCAAAACATATGAAAGAACACTGCTAGTATTACTTAAGAAAAAGCTAATGATGAGCTTTCCACAGGAAAAAACAGATACAAAGGAAAAAAAAAAAATAAGGTGGATACATTCACCAAGAAATGTCATTTCCCCATAAATAAAGACAACATTTATATTAATTTACTACATCATTAAGTATAGAGTTAATCTCTCTGTGACAAAATAAAATAAAGATAAAAACAAATATATTTTATCCCTATACAGTTTGTTAGAATTTGTGCCATAAAGAATTTCTGGACATTTGTTCTTAAATGTATTTGGCAAGGACATAAAAGAAGGAACCATACCTGTTTTACCAATGACTTCTTGCAATTCAGCCATAGAACTGATTATTGCAGCAAGAAGGTCAGAACTGGTGAGCCAACTGAGCGCTTGTAAACAACGCAACTGCTCCTTTTGATGTTCTACAAAATTGAAAAAATCCATTATAAAATTCTACAAAACTTTATTAAAATCGATATTTAAAATTCATAGCAGTGTTCAGCTATTTAAGGAACAGATCAAACCCTATTGTGAACATTGCCTAATGTGGAAAAATCTATTAAGAAATTTTAGATTAGACTGACCTAATTTATAAATAACAGTAAATGACACCAAAAAATAAAATAGAAAAAAAAATTTCTTTAGTTTTACTTATATTACTTAATAGTCTGCTTTTTAAAAATTAAAAATTAAATCATTTCTTCAAAATAGTCAAACATTCAAAAAATAGCTGGAAAATATATATTTGTCTCATTTTCATGATTCTTCAATATATTTTTAACCCATTTCATACTTATTCATAGAAATGGAAAATAAACTATACTGATAATTTGAAGTAGCATAGTTTTTGACGGACATAATTGAAAAATCACTGTATAAACTCTTCACTTTACTGCACAGGATTCAAATATAAAACTAGACAACGTTGAAATTATATATATTTGCCACCTTATATTTTAATCTGTTTAAAACAAAAAACCAAGGCCTAATTTATACAAAAATAGTCATCTATCTACACATATACATACATGTGGGGACTATGTCATATTATCTGGCATATTACATGATTTTTTTTTAAGTTTTTCCATAGTAGCCAGGTATAGCCACACTGTATTTTACTTACATGCAACTTATATTTTTAAAAGCACAAATTATCTTACTTGGAAATTTATGCTTGTCTTTGGGCTCTCCTGAACACACTAACATGCCTATGCCTTCTTTGAAACTCTCCATCCAGGTAAATAGAGAGGCACATGATTGGCCCAAAATCTTGAGTCTGTTTGCTGCCAAAATTGCAATAACACCTTTCCGGAATATGTGTATCAATCCTTTGAATGTTTTTTTCTTCATCTTGGCTTCCTCTTGCTTCTTTTCCTCTACAGTTGACAAAGCCTGGGCTAGAGTTCTAATTTCCAATTTGAACAGTTCAAAGGTGTTGACCTGCTCCTGGAGAAAATCTCTCTGTGTAGATAAGGCACATGATCGGCTATAGAGGGGATATAAGGCACCAGCCATCAATGCACAGGCTGCCAGCAAGGATGTCTGTTCCCTTTGAGTCTGTGATAACAGTTTTTTGAAGTGCGAATTTTCGAGAACCAACTGTTCATGCGACTTCTCAATATGGTTCAATTTTTCCATATTTTTTTCAGCAATTTCTTGAAATGTCTATGAAAGAAGTCAAACAATATGTTTGATCATGAAACAAACAGGCATTATATTAATTTCCCTTTACACAAAAAAAAAACAAACTTTGCTGACAACCACTTCTTCTTCTTCAAAAGATACATGTGCTAAAATATCCAAAATATACATAAGTCAGCTACGGCAACAGTGAGCCAAACAGCTTAGAGCTGAATGTGCATACTGATTTTTCTTTCTTTCTTTCTTTCTTTGTTTTATTGTACCTTAGGTTCTGGGGTACATGTGCAGATCATGCAGGATTGTTGCATAGGTACATACATGGCAATGTGGTTTGCTGCCTCCATCTTCCCGTCACCAATATCTGGCATTTCTCCCTATGTTATCCCTCCCCAACCTTCCCACCCACTGCTGTCCCTCCCCTAGCCCACCCAACAGCCCCCAGTGTGTGATGCTCCCCTCCCTGTGTCCATGTGTTCTCACTGTTCGACACCCACCTATGAGTGAGAACATGCAGTGTTTGATTTTCTGTTCTTGTGTCAGTTTGCTGAGAATGATGGTTTCCAGGTTCATCCATGTCCCTACAAAGGACACGAACTCATCATTTTTTATGGCTGCATAGTATTCGATGGTGTATATGTGTCATGTTTTCCCTGTCTAGTCTATCATTGATGGGCATTTGGGTTGGTTCCAGGTCTTTGCTATTGTAAACAGTGCTGAAATGAACATACATGTGCATATGTCTTTACAATAGAATGATTTATAATCCTTTGGGTATACACCCAGTAATGGGATTGCTGGGTCAAATGGAATTTCTATTTCTAGGTCCTTGAGGAATCGCCACACTGTCTTCCACAATGGTTTTTAAATCCTCTTACATAGAAGCTTTACATAAAGTAGAACACATAAATTTAAGAGTATTTCATGAAGTTCCTATATACTTATCCAAAAATACACAAATTTAGAAAAGAAAAACATGCTTTTTCTGTATAATTTATCTTTGTCCACTCCTCATTAACTCTTCATTCCTATTTTTAAACAGAAATGACACTGCCAACAGAGGATTTCCTAGATGTAAAAAAGACTTACTTTTTACCAAAATAAGCAACCAGTTCAATCAATGATGTAACAAATAGCACAGTCTACCTTTAAAGCATAAGAAGGCACTGTCTCTCAAGGATACCTGCTTATTTCAGTTTCTGTCTTAACTCCCCAAGACAGAAAGCTGTACACAGCACATCTTCAGTGGTGAGAGGAAATACTAATAGTGATACTACTGGGCCTCTGTAGCCCTCTGTTCCTTTTTGCCTATTCAATGTGCTTACAATCTAAAACTTAATTTGGAATAAAAAGAAATTTAACTGTAGGAATCACAATTAATCCTAGAAAATAAACTGGCTCTCTATGAAATCTTAACCTAATCAGTAAGGAATCTTGAGAGAAAGAGTAAAATTAAGAAGGGTCAGGCACAGTGGCTGACACCTGTAATCCTAGTGCTTTGGGAGGCTGAGGTGAGAGGATTGCTTGAGCTCAAGAGTTTGAGATCAGCCTGGGCAACATAGCAAGACCCAGTCTCTACAAAAAAAAAGTAAAAAAATTAGGAATGCTGGTACACCCCTATAGTTCCAGCTACTTGGGAGGCTACGGTCAGAGGATCAATTGAGTCCAAGAAGTTGAGGCTGCAGTGAGCCAGGGTAATGGGGGAGGGGAAGGAGGAAGAAAAGGAGGAGGAGGAGGAGGAAGAAGAAGAGGAAGAGGAGGAAGAATAGGAGGAAGAGGAGGAAGAAGAGGAAGAGGAGAAAGAAGAGGAAGAGGAGGAAGAGGAAGAAGAGGAGGAGGAAGAAGAAGAAGAGAAAAAGGAGGAGGAGGAGGAGGACGAGAAGGAGGAAAGAAGAAAGAAGAAGAAAGATCCCAATTTCCTGTACTATTCACTTATCATTCAATAAACATTTACTGGGGCCAGGCATGAGGACTCACACCTGCAATCCCAGCAGTTTTGGAGGCTAAGGTGAGAGGATTGCTGGAGGTCAGGAGTTTAGGACCATCCTGGTCAACACAGTAAGACCCTGTCTCTACAAAAAAAATTGGAAAATGTCAGCCAAGTAGGGTGGTATGTGTACAGTTTTAGCTACTCAAGAGGGTGAAGGTTGGAGGATCTCTTTAGTCCAGGAATTCGAGACCAACTTAGGTGACAGTGCAAGACCCTGTCTCCATTTAAAAAAAAAAAAAAAAAGTATTGATTGATTACTCACTAAATTCCATGTACTAGGAAAAGAGACAAGTAAATCAACTAGTATGGTATAATGCTATGATAGAGATATTCCAGATTCACAATAGCCAAAAGGTAAGAGTACAAAAGGGCACTTAAACAAATTGTGGCAGCTATATTCTATTAATGGGACTATGTCCCAGAACTTCACACAGAGACCACTAGTAAAGCAAGTGGTGTCCCACAGGAGTGCTAAAAGCAGCAAGAAACTCTAAGAAGCAGCAGCTATGCAGACTGCTCGCAAGAGGATGTGCGACAACCCTCTTAAACCAGGCAAACTTTAAGGAAAAAGAAAACTGACACTTGGCTTGTGGCTAGATTAAAGCAGGAAGACTAGCATGTAAAAAAGGAAGAGCCAGAAAGCACTACTGTATGCTCTAAGGATGCAAAGAATTCAGAATACCTGAAGAACTGAGGGAAATTATGGAAATTTGAAAAGTACACAGAAAAAAGATGACTGAGTACCTTATGTGCTACACTAAGAAACTTAGCTTAATCTGCAGAGGTATGAGAAGCCATAAAATCCTGGAACTGTCCCTACTGTTAGTAAAGGGATATGAGAATCAGAAACATAATAAAGATGGCCAGGGGTAGCAGTAGAGTTGCAGCAGCTGGGAGTAGGATGAAGGGAACAAATGGAAATCACAAAGGTTAATTCCACATTCTCTTCAAAATCAATTTCATTTGTTGAATTAGAGAAAGAAAGGAAAACTATAGAAAACCTAGAAAATACAAGAGGCAAACTAGCAATACTTAGATAAGTGAAAATAAAAGTGAACCTCAGTGTCTCAGGCAGAAGTGTTTTCAACAAAAATTACATGCAAAATTACAATAAAAACTGTGCTTGTAGATACAGGTAGAGGAAGAGATACTGTATCCTAAAGTCAGTATCTTAATAATGGGGGAAAACCCAAAGCATTCTTACCAAGTTCCAGGGCAAGGGAAGAATACCCACTCTCTCCACTAGTATTTAACACTGTAATGTTTGCAGCAACATTATTCACAGTAGCCAAAAGGTAGGAAAAAACACAAATGCCTATCAGGGGATGAATGAATAAACAAAATGTGGTATATCCACACAACAGAATATTATTCAACCATAAAAATGAATGAAATACTAATATATGGTACAACATAAATAAACCTTGAAAAAATATGCTAAGAGAAAGAAACCAGACATACAAGGACACATTTGTATGACTCCATTTATACAAAATATACATATTAGGAAAATTTATAAACACAGAAAACATATTTTCGGTCACCAGGGGCTGAGGAGAAGAAGGAACAAAGAGTGACTACTTAATGGGTTCTGGGTTTCTGTTCAGGAGCTAAAGAGTGGTGATGGTTGTGCAGTACTATGAATACACTCAATGCCACTCAATTGTGTACTCTAAAAGGATCAAAATGGTAAATTTTATGTCATGTGTATTTTACCACAATTTAAAATATCAATATCCTTAATATATACATGTAAACACAAAATAAGATAATGGAAGAGAAAACCCCATTTAGAATTCCATAATAAAAAAGATAGAATAATGTAGGAATCAATTTAGTCTGAAATGTGAGAAATCCATATAATGTAAAGTTTTAAATACATTTGAAAGACACAAAATAATATTTCAAACTTCAACAGCCTAACTCATCACAAAGATTCAATTCTTCCTAAGTAAACTGATAAACATAGTGCAATTCCACTTAAAAACAAACCAGTTTGTTTTCTGGAACTAGGCAAGTTGAGTTTCATCCTGAAAAAGAAGAGGAATGAGAAGGGAGTAGCCCCACTACACATTAGAACACCAACAAAACCTCTAGTTAAGGCCAGACGTGGTGGCTCATGCCTGTAATCCCAACACTTTTGGAAGCCGAGGCAGGTGGATCACCTGAGATGAGGAGTTCAAGACCAGCCTGGCCAACGTGGTAAAACTCCGTCTCTACTAAAAATACAAAAAACCAATTAGCTGGGCATGGTGGCAGATGCCTATATTCCCAGCTACTTAGGAGGCTGAGGCAGGAGAATTGCTTAAACCCAAAAGGTGGAGGTTGAATCGAGCCAAGAGTGTGCCACTGCACTCTAGCCTGGGCAATAGAGCAGGACTATCTCAAAAACAAAACAAAACAAAAAAACAAACAAAAAAAAAACCTCTAAACCCTCTAATTAAAAAATCATGTTATTTGTACATGAAAAAACAAAAAGTTCAATGGAACAGAACTGAACATCTAGAAACAGATCTAAGCACAAAAAAAAACTTCAATGATAAAGGTAGCAATTCAAAGCAGTGGGAAAAAGACAGACTAAACGGTGGTGAAATAACCAGATGGCCTTTTGGAAAAAAATATAAAAGTTGATCAATACCTGACATCTTATACAAAAGTAAATTCCAAATATATCATAAATCTATATGTAAAAAAGTGAAACCACAGAAATATTAGAAGAAAATACATGTAAATTACTTAATCTTGGTATAAAGATAGGATTGCTAAAACTAAAAATCCAGATGCATAAAAAGAAAAGATCAATTAACATATAAAAAATACACATTGGAGGGCCAGGCACAGTGGCTCATGCCTGTAATCCCAGCACTCTGGGAGGCTGAGGTGAGCAGATCACAAGGTCAGGCTATAGAGACTATCTGGCTAACATGGCAAAACCCCATCTGTACTAAAAATATAAAAAATTAGCCAGGCGTGGTGGCACTTGCCTGTAGTCCCAGTTACTTGGGAGGCTGACACAGGAGAATCGCTTGAATCCAGG